CTCCATCAACAGCACGGACACATCTGTAGCGGACAGGACGTTCTCCTCTGGCACACCAACAATGCGTATATTATTGCGGCGAGACCTGGACTCCAAATCCTCGCATTTATTCTCCAATTTGGCCAACTCCTTTGACATCGCATCCACTTTGGCTTGGAGGTGGACAATATCATCCGTGCATGTGGAGAGAGACTGTTCCATCTCCGTAACTGTGCTCCTGAGGCCAGCGAATTCCTGCCGCATGGTAGTTATATCTGAGGAAAGGTCCGTTTTTAGTTGCTGTATGTCAGACCTGATAGACGTGAGATTCTCCGCAAACGCTGCCGTCAGTTCCTTTTTAAACAGTGCTGAAATTTCTTCACGAAGTTCAGAGAGGAGTTCAGCCTTCGTGAATTTTTCCGTAACGACGAGCGGCGTGTCGGGTGACCCAGGCAGTGGCGAAGTTTTACCACGAGGTGGGGATGCAGTGTTAGCAGCAGGCCGCAAGTTCGGCTGAGAGGTGCTTGCGCTCTTATTAACCTTACGCGACATTGTAAACACAAAAAGCAAAAACAGTCTTGTCTCGGAACTATACAAAAAGAAAAAACCCGTCAAAATGTGCCTGGAAATGCTAGATAATAACTAGACTCTGCAGGAGCTACGGTGCGACCTACGCCATAGTCACCTAAACCGGAAGTCCATCAGGTATACTCTTAAGTATTTGCTAAACAAATAATTTGCATTATTGAAATGGGCATGTTACGGATTCAAATATTGGGGATGGATACAAGAGGAAAAACCAAAATAACAACACTGGTCGGGCCGGGTCAAGTCAAACGATGATTTTAATGATCACACGCGTGGGAGATGGACACCGTACGCAGACAGCATCAGATCTCAAAATGGTGGAGCATTGATCAAACTCTTATAGCCTCTAGTGGCCCCCATCTAATCATAAAAGCCTAAAAATTCACATTCTTTCTCTCACACGGCGCCTAAGCTACGACCTTGGCTCCCTGTTTATCTGCTCCTGCTGAGATGGGGCAGAAAACTCCAGTATGTTCTGTTCTCTTCTAATCAGACAAATAAGGCGATGACTTTCTGCGAACAGTATTTCTTATAACTCAGCAGTATAATGCATCATAAAACAATATCATTCATTCACAATAAATCAGCAGTCTATGCAAATCAGTTTAACAAATGTAATAGTTATCACCTTCTAATTCAGGAGAATAATGCAAACTAAAACTACATAATAATTCACAATCTTTAATTAAGGGTCTAACATGGCATAAAATAATATTATAATCCCACAGGCACATTTCAAGGCAAGTATAAGTAAAGTAGCCAAAATAAAAAAGTTAAGAGACTGTAGATTATTGGAAATGATAACACATTTAATAAATTACAGTCTAAGCAAAGAGTTACATAAAGCAGGAATGTATGTCAGAGTTATGAAAGCAAGACCCAAATGCAAGACTTCCTGTAGAGTACAATGTGTTTATTTACAGGGAATAAAATGACAACAAGTGCAACAATCTTCCGCGTGTGTTTCTCTCTTCGTGTGCTCGCTCCCGTGCATGACTTCTCCAGTGTTCGTGGTGGTTGTCCTTTTCCTTTCAGTAACTATGAACAACATGCTCCACTTCCTCCACTCGTTTCCGCAACACTTTGGATATAAACACACTGCCGTTAATACACGCAATCCCCTCCACTCGAAACACTATCACAAAGTAGCTGGGAACTGAATGATTTCTCACAACGATCCAGCATCGAGTGAAGCTCAGCTCGTCTGTTAAGTAGCTCTTCAGATTAGGCTGATCAGTAACAGGTGAGTTTCATTCACTTTCAGGTGTGGCTGGCTTAACGGCAGGAAACTGCGGGCCTGACGTCTCCAGAAACCCCGGACACCGCTGTACACACACACACCCATCAACTCACAAGTGAAAATGAGGGACGGTGAGTGTTGTGTTGGGCTCTTGAATAAAACTCCCGCTCAAGCGATAACGTGGAGCAACAACAATCTTTCTTTAATACAGCTTACTGTCGTGCTGTTTTACATTAGTGATGTTCGATTCGTGAACGAATCGTTCAAGACTCGAGAATCACTTTACTGACTCGTGAATCATGATTCACAAGCCCAACTGACTCACTGACTCATCCCTGTTGCTGTTAGCAAACTAATTCCATTAGTAGAAATATATCTAGCTTATAATTAAAATTGTGGGGGGGGGGAAACAACAGCCAGTTTCTTAACAAAAGCATTTCTGCTCTGAACTGGAAGAAAAAACCCTGAGTAGAAGCTCACATCAAGAAAATAGCTCCTCGGTTCAGAGTAGCATCGCGCTGCTAACATGCTAACAACACATTTGAGCTACTCACCCCCTCCCTTCCTGTGCTGAATCGTAAGCATAAGCGAATCACTCAGGACTCGCTCACCCCTCCCTCCTGTGCTGAATCAAAGAGCGAACGAACGAATCACTCACTCACTCACCCCCTCCCTCCTGTGCTGAATCATAGAGCGAGCAAACAAATCACTCACTCACCCCCTCCCTCCTGGCTCACAGCTTCTTCTTCTTCTTGGTTGGCAACCAATGTTAAGGCGCATCACCGCCCCCTGGCTCAGAACGCAGTGGACATTTAGATGGGAAAATACTAATAAAATACAAATAAACAAAATGAATGTTTATTAAGCAATTTTGATAGGAAATTGCTTAATTTTAGAAATCTTTTTGCTCTTTTTTCTCTATAGAATAGTTGTTGTTGTTGTTTTTTAATCATTCATCTTAGCAGTGGGATTTACATGAAAAGGGAAACAAATTAAGTTTGAGTGAAAATGTAAAATTTTTGCACTCTCTGGTCAACTGACTCAGTGAATCAAATGACTCAAAAAATCCGATTCACTTTGGTGAGTGACTCATTAACACTCGATTCAGTAAAAAGAATCAAATTTACCATCACTATTTTACATGCTACCAATTTCCTGTTTAGTGGGTAAGTACTGCCGCCTAGTGGCGCATGATGTACATCAATATAGATTACACCACAGTGAGCAAACACATTCATGGCCACGGCAGGTCGTCAGGCAGGGACGGCAGACCATGACAATATACTGAGCTGATTACTTTTTTTTTTTTTTAAACACAAATTCAAATTCTTTTGGGCTTATCAACCCTAAATCTGAACCTTAATGGCTTGGACTGTGAGTGTTCATTATAGAGCTCAGTTTCCGCCACAACTTTGGTTGTTGCTCTAAAATAGCTGGCTAAGAAGATTTAAAGATTATATAAATAAGAGTACAATCTAAGAATACCTATATGATCTAAAGCTTGATCCAACATGCTGTATTTTTACATGCCTTTTGTAATATCTGCACTCTTTTGGTTAAAGTGTGTCTTCTGTATATTCATGATATGTTTAACCGCATGCAAAAACCACACTGAAAATCTAAAGACTTTAGTTTGTTGCAATTGAAAGAATAAACCTCTACCAAATTACTCTCTTAAAATAACAGTGAAAAACAAAAACAGTGACATGATGCACAAATACATTTTGCCGTGTTAATCACCAAAAGCACACATTCAAACCAAGTTCTGGTCGGTGATGAAAATTTTGAATGACAGAACTCATTCTGTGTATTATAATCTCCTTTTACTTGCTAGAAGTGACTGAAATAAAGGGTTCCCTTGTAGAGGTGGTAAAAGTATAGAATTTTGTTCTTAAGTAGAAATACTACTGCTAAAAAAAAAAACTCCAGTAAAAACTGAATTACTGATTCAACTTCTTTACTCAAGTAAAATTTAAAAAACAAACAAACAAACAAACAAATACAGGCTCTGAAATGTACTCAAAGTATGAAAGTAAAAATAGCTCTTTGGAGGATTTTTCTCTTACCTAGATTGTTTTTCTAAACAGGAAAATGTGTGCAGTCGGGGGTTAATGTGAGATTCAGTAGGTTGGAGAACCCTAAAATTGGTTGCAATACCTCAGTGTGTGGAAAACAATCATAACTCACAATTGGCATGTCTGCTGTGGCAGACGGAGAGGAGTGGAGAAAGATTGGACCCGAATGCAGTCACTGATAACGGACTTGAATTGAGAGTAAGCCTTTATTACGGCAGAGCAGAATACAAACAAAAGCAAAGGGTGGCAATGAGTAAGCTAGCAAAACCTAAACTGGGAGAAACCTAAAAAAAATAAAATAAATAAAGAATAATGACACTAAAGCCCTGCAACATGGGAAATGCAGTTTGCAGACAATCCAGCAACAAACAGGACGACAAAGGGCTTAAATACACAGAGGGATAATGAGGGAATGAGACAGAGGAGGAGGAGAAATCACACACAACGAGACCGGGGAAATAAAACTGAAAACACTAACATAGCACACGAGACTGTAAAAGTCTCTGAGCAGTCGTTACCTTTGAATCTAACCTCTCTTCTTCCTCTCCTGTCCTGTCTTTCTTATCTTTCTCCATCTCTGAGTGAAGTTGGCTCTCTTTCTGTTCTCTCCCTGTGAAATACAGCAGCTGGACCTTTAGCTAGCAACACACTTTGAAACAAACTGCACACAAACACTTTGTGTGTTTGTGATGTTTGTTGAGCTGAGAGGAAAGTTGCATTGGAAATTAACTGACACTTAAAAACATGGTGGCTGTAGCTCAGGTGGCAGAGCAGGTCAGCCACTAATCAGAAAATCGGTGGTTCGATCCCAGGTTGCCTCCTGGCTGCATGCCAGGAGGGTAAGATACTAACCCCATGTTTGCCTACTGGTGGTGGTCAGAGGGCCCGGTGGCGCTAGTGTCCGGCAGCCTCGCCTCTGTCAGTGCGCCCCAGGGCAGCTGTGGCTACAACGTAGCTTGCCATTGCCTGTGTGTGAATGGGTGAATGACTGAATGTTGTGTGAAGCGCTTTGGGGTCCTTAGGGACTGAGTAAAGCGCTATACAAATGCAGGCCATTTAAAAAACGATCACTTTTAATCCCTGACTTTGACACGTGTCGTCTTTTTTTTTTTTTTTTAATTTATCCACTGGTGATTAATAAACAAACAAAGGTCCGCAGTGACGAGATAATAACTCCCCCCCGAATGCATTACAGCCAAAGTAATGAGCTTGTTTTGAAAACGTAATAAGTAGAAAGTACAGATATTTGTTTGAAACTGTAGGGAGTAAAACTAAAAAGTAGTCAGAAAAATCAGTTTCCTTGACATCTGCCTTTGTCTGTTGTTCAGAATGCTGACATCTGTTTCCTGTTGGGTTAGGATGATAAAAACAATGTTTATGCTATTGTCACAAGTAAATGCTATAATGTCAAGTTCCATGTGTCTCTTACTGGCGACTGACAGCACACAGCATATGAGATGAAGGAGGGGTGGTGAATCCCACAGCTGGTGTGAGATCCAGTTCATCCTCTGTGATTCCAGGTGGAGGAGTGAAACGAAAGCGCTGAATGAGGGAGGTGAAGAAGAGGAAGAGCTCCATCTTAGCCAGACCTTCTCCGAGACACATCCTGCGACCTGCAAATGCAAAGAGTTTACACTCATTTAAACGAATCATGTCTGCGCTAGTGAGAATTTTCTCAAAAAAGCCTGACAAAGTTGTCATACCTGCAGAAAAGGGCATGAAGGCATCTCTCCTGACAAATTGACCCTTTTTGTCCAGAAAATGTGAAGGGTTAAAAGTGTGTGGGCTCTCCCATTCACTCTCATCATACAGGACAGAGGTGAGAAGGGGAAACACAATAGTTCCCTGTGGGAAACAGAAGATTTCTCATGTAGATGTACATCTACAGAACTAGTTCAGGTTATCAGAAGTAAATCAAGATGTTAAAATATATTTAGGTACAGCAGCTGACCTTTTTGATAAAGTATCCCTTGAAGGTGACATCTTGGCTAGTTTGGTGAGGAACAGACATGGGGACAATATTCGCCAGTCTCTGAGTCTCGTGAATGACTGCATCAGTGTACGGCAGGTTTTTCCGGTCATCTACACAAACTTGTCGGCTTCCTACTACCCGGCTCAGCTCCTCGTGGACCTGCTCTGCAGAGACAAAATAAAGAAACAAATTTGTCCACATTAGTTTTAACAGATCTGCTAAAACGTGTAAAAATAAATAAATAAATAAAAAATCTAAAATTATACACAGAATATTGTTATGGTGCACATTGTTTGCATATGAAATGCTGTGTATTTATTTACCACTGACTGGTAGTGGTGGTGGTTGTTTTGCCTTTTCCCTCTGATATCACATGCTGACATGTCAGTAAACCCATAACTGAAGTCATTGGTCTTGTAGCCCAACAGGACACTGAACTCTATATACGTATTTATGTGTTATCACCTTATATAAATATCAACTATGTGTGTTGGAAAGGCTGTCGACTGTGTTCGAGAGCCCCCTTGTGGCGAGAGAGTTGAACTATTGAGAACATGGTCCAGAGCATGTAGGTTAAGCTAACACATAGCAAGAGGCACCTAGTAAACTGACTCAACAGTGGACGTCTAGGCATAGTGTGAGTTGTGTGCGTCTCTAAAGAACTGTGAGTAGACATCTTGATTGAATCCTTATTATAATCAGCATTCTGTATATGTTTTGTTTACAGACCACACATATGGGCTCAAATTGTGGGCATAAATATTTTGTACTCTTAAATCAAATGTGTAGTTGTGAACTGAGTTTTGTAAGTGTGTAAGTGTGTGTGTAAAAAAGATTTGTGTTTGTAAAAATATATTTACACAGTTACAAATTTGTTTGTTAAGGTCTGGTTACAACGGTGGCCCTGAGAAGCCAAACGGACTGCAACTTACACCAGCAATAAGAAAAACGTTGCAAAAGCACACAAAACACAACGGAAATAGGAAACAAGAAAACAAAAATAGGAAAAAAAAAAAAAAAAAAAACACACACACACACAAGGGAAGTGTTTCTGGGGAGACAACCTGACGGACCAGTTGCAGGAACCGAAAAAATGGTGTGTTTTATCATGATTCATATAATACTGCTGACGTATTTTCAGACTAATAGTTAGGCTAACACACTTACCTCTCATCTTTTCTTTCCTCACAAAACCGATAGATCCTTCACTTCTTCTAAGTGTGTCCCAGCGCAATTCTTAGCATAATTTGGTTCCTGCAACTGGTCCGTCGGGTTATTGTCTCCCCAGAAACACTTCCCTTGTGCTTTTGGAAATCTGTTTTTTCCTATTTCCGTTGTCGTTTTTCCTATTTCCGTTATTTTTTGTGTGCTTTTGCAGCGTTTTTCTTGTTGCTGGTGTTTTCTTAAGTTGCAGTCCGTTTGGCCTCTCAGGCCCACCGTAGAGGTTACAGATACAAAGCAAAAACCTGCGTATTAAACTCTACACTTAAGTTCCCTGGCTATGTGTGACTTTCTTCTTATGAGTAGGAATTTTGTCCCAATTTTTCTGCCTTTCACCTGATTGGTCAATGTCGTGTCAATCATAAATTTAACAATCCAGTCAGAGAATAGATGGGTTTGGGGTGCTTTGCTGAGCTTCAGGTCCTGGAAGGGTAATGCAGTTTGAAGCTGGAGGATCTCTATATGAATATCCTAAGCTAGGTTCCTTAACTTTTGGCAGCTACTGAAAGGATAAAGTTGTGCTATACCAGAAATACCATTATTACTTTAGTATTGAGCCCATACACAGACCCCACCTACGAGTTGTACACCACCCCTGTAAGCCTGTGGTTGCATCACTGTGCTGTTGTGTTAAAGAATAACAGCAAATAAGGAATAACCTTATTTGTGCGTCCTGTGTGTTCTGACCGACACCCCAAGGTGAACACCATTGTTATTCAACCAACGCCTATACAGTCCTGGGTGAAACCCAAATTAACAGTGTGGTATTTCTTATCACCCACATTCTTTTGAGGTGAGACTTGCATGTCTTGTCCAGTTCCTTACCCTGTATGTGTGGGTATTTAGCCATTAACAGCAAACCCCATCTCAGTGTGGCTGCTGTGGTGTCAGTGCCAGCAGCAAACAGGTTGCTCACTGTGAATGTCAAGTTCTCCTCATTGTAGTGAGTATCCAAAACACAGGAGTCCTAAAAGAAGTAACACTCACATTGCTTATTGCTATCAAACCTAAAGTGTAAATAATATTATCATAATTTAAAAAAAACAAAAAAAACCACACATAGTCTTACTTCTTCTTTCTGTTTCCGAATCAGAAAACAGTCCACAAGCCCTCGGCACAGTCCAGGCTCCAGAGTCTCTTTCAGATGCTTAATTAAATTCTTTATATCTCTGACATTCATCTCAACATTTTTTAACACCACCTGGCGATTTTTTATCCAACCGAACAGCCGAGGAAACATGTTAAAAAGCTGCAGGAGAAAAAAAAACAAACAAAAAACCTTAAAGCTTATTCCAAGTAAATACACTGAATTATTAGAAATAAAATTAAATACATTTTACTTTGTCACATGACACATGTTATAGTTTAAATATTAAAAAAAAAGATTAAAGTCCACACATTATTATTACACATTGTTTCACCAAATCCTGGTTTTCATTTTTATGAAAGCAGCGATGACTTGACCTATTTTAAAATTCCCCTCACAGAAATAATTTAAATCAAAAATAACAAAGTTACTGTTGCTGTGCATCTAAAGATATCTGATATTTTCAAGTAGCTTTACCATCTAATTCCTTAATGACTATCGGTGCATATCGTGTCATATATACATTTTATTGTATCTCATGATTAAGAATTACTGCCTTTGCATCAATGAGCATTAATAACAATAATAAAAATTAAAAAAAAAAAAGCTTGTGAAAAAGCAAATAGTCAGATTTCCAATGCACCACAGAGCCAGATTTGCTAATGGCAGCGCTACAGCTTTGGCTCTAGCCTGTGTTTCTTCACTGAATGTTTAGAGCCTTGTTATTGTAGGGAGTTGTGTATGCCTTCCAGAGAGCCATATCGATGGGGACTTTAGCCCCTGGGATCCCTGTTCAGCCAGGCAGGTCACGAGGTGGAGGCCGGACAACAATCGGCAAAGTCAGATAAGACAGACATGAGATGGATCAGTTATCAGGCCATCCTGACTCCCCGAAAAGCCTTCAGTTGATCCAAAATGCTACAGCGAGAGTATTGACTGCAAGCATATTTCTCCCATATTCGCTTGTCTTCACTGGCTTCCTGTTAAATCCAAAGTTGAATTTAAAATCCTTTCACTTACAAAGTCTTGAACAATCAGGCCCAGTCTAATCTTATAGACCTCATAGGACCACATAGCACTGCTGGTTTACTTGTGGGACCTAGAGTATTCAAAAGTAGAATGGGAGCCTAAGATACGAAGCACGTAGTAAACATCAGGTCATGAGGCCTGTTTGTTGTTGCTAATTTAATTTAATTTATAAGATTTTAGTCTCACAGAATTTTCTACTTCCATATATGAATGTATGTGATCGTGGCCAACTTCACCAACTCATCGAATCTGTCAAAAAGCCAACCTGGACTGATGCAGAACCTGAGACACATATGGTTTGATTGGCTCGCTTCACCATGTTCTTGAATACAGGGTCACCGTAGTCAAATCTGCTTCCGAACACAATAGAGGAGATAATGTTGGCTGTTGCATAATTTATTGGAAGAGCTGTATCAAAAGCATTTCCTGTAAAATTGATACACAAGAAAAAAAAAATCTAAAATAAATAAATCCATACATGGGCTAACAGACATGCACAATATAACATTTAGAGGTGTGCTAATTTAAAAAAAAATCATTTAAATTGCAGTTCATGGTTCGTGTACTTTTGCCATACCTTTATGATCTTCAATCACTTGAATCAGATAGCCACACTCCTCCAGGATTTTACCCTGAGTAAGTCTTTTGCCCATCCCAAAGTCTTTGAGGGTGGCGAGGGCAAAACGTCTCAGCTCTTTCCACGATTCTCCATTTGCAAACAAAATTCCTACAAAACATAAAATCCTTTATTTTAAAAACTCAATTAACTGATTTTTATGATATGGAAATAGAAACATGCTGACAAGGCTTAAACCACCAGTAAGGAAGGGCTGAAAACAATGAGTATTTTTAAAATTTTTAACTTTTGAAGTAGTTTTTGTTTTTGAATATATCACATTTTGTACCCCCCAAAAAGTCAGTTCTGTTCATCTGGATGTAGTGTTTTTACTAAATTACAGTATATTTGCATTTGTCTTTTTTTCCCCTAAATAGTTTAAAATTGTACATGTGACTCTATTGTATTGAAATTAGCACCGCTGACTAAAAATGTCAGATTCATGATCATTGGTCAATGAACATTATTTATAAAGCTGGGGAATCTTGCAGTCAGCTGAGACTGTAGAAGTCACTTGGATGAGTGACAAAACGTTTATCCCACAGAAAACGCTGTCGAGATGAACAGGATCAACTTTTTGGGATTTCCTTACCTGGACGATTGAAGCAATTTCATAATAAAAGTGCTGTATTGCATAGTTTACTACACAAACAGGGTCACATCCTCACGGAAGACATTCAACATTAAAGGAATATGTAGCACTAAACTTATATAAACTTTTTTTTTTAAATTCTGGATGGAGAGGAAACCTGTATTTCATGAAGTCATGTGAGTCACAGCAGCTATAAGTGCTGTTGGTTATTTCTGAGAAGCCAGGTATCATATGTTGACCGGACTATTTGTGATAGTAAAATGAAACAGAATAAATGGTATTATGAAAGAATTTCATACCATGACCTCTGTTCAGGTCCTTAAATATCGGGGAGACATTGCGCTCTCCAAACTCCACTGCATAGTTAACCAGTGCCTCTCTGACTGCTTCGTACCCAGCCAAGACCACAACCTTGTTGGTTCCTAAATAAACTGTAAATACTGACCCATATGTCTTTGAAAGCTGGAAGAATAAAAATTAAGCAAAAGACAACTGAAATAGCATTAAATACATTGCAATCTTTCATTAAAGCTGCTCCTTTTGAACGAGAAGACAGCCTGATTTACCTCATGCAGAGTTTTGTAGGGTCTCTTGAGGTCAATTTGCAACAGGTTGCCTAGCAGAGGCAGAGGTCTCGGTCCTGGGGGTTCCTTCCCTCTTTCCTTAGAAATGTAATTGACAGATAGGAGATAAAGAACAAGCAAGAGAACAGCAGCAGCCAGCACGGTGGTGGAACTGGAAAAGTTAAAATCTACAAAAAGTGCCATCTCCGTCTGGTGTCAGTGGTTTTTCTCTGTGTTACTTATGTGAAAACTGCTAGAGCTTCCTTGTAGGGACTCCCATGATAGGTTTAGCATCCATGTTCCCGCCCCTGAGATGCATATCGCATCTGTGCATTAGGTAACTCCCCCAGTGATTTAATTACAGGAACTTGTTTTGCCAGAGCAAGTGAGAGCTGCCTCACCCTTCAAAAAGCCACAGCTATGTTTTTTTTAGGGTCAGCAATGTTTCAGTTACCGGGTTGCTATTTATCACACAGAGACATGTAGAAGATTGAGGTCTGTTAGGCGCCACCTCTGTCCCCTGGGGCTCCACCTTGTTTATGCTCATGGTGGCTTTTGGAACATTTTAACACAGTTATCTGATTTAAAAAAATATATCGCTTGCTGTGTGATACAGCTCATCCTTCCTTTGGGATTAATAAAGTATGCTGATTCTGATTCTGATCTAAGTTTGGGGAGTGGAATTCTAATATTTAATTAGTTTGTCGCATAACAATAAGTAAGTAGCAGATACATCCAAACAGTTCATGGGTGGCAGCTTGTTAATGAGGCTCATACAAATATGGTCACTAAAGGCTCCAGAAGACTAACCTGGTGGAGGTCAAAATGCTTACTTGGAAACTAAAGAAGGACCTTACAGTGGTCTCCATTATCCAAATTATGCTGCATATATATATATTCATTCCCCTATGAGGATTGTCACGTGACTCTCCAAACAGGCTGCTGGACATCAGGATGTGCAAACATTAAATTATAAATGTAGCAGGGAAGGAGTATTTCCAGGATTTCTGAAATGGGATGGAACAGGGTGAGCAAGAATGAGAATACGTAATCGGAAATAAAATCAACACAGAAAACAATAGGCATCATTTTCAGGCTCATGTGTAGCCCTGTGGTCTTTAATAATTTTAATTAGTTATATATTGTTGGGTAGTTTGAGTTATAACAATGCAATTAATCTAAAAAGAATAAAAAATAAATAAAAACTTCAAAATAAATGGAACAAAGAGCAAAACATAGTAGCGTAAAAGCTTGAAGTAGCATAAGATTTAAAAAAAAAAAAAGAAAATACTTAAAGTACTTCATGAATACTCGATTACATTCCTACTGGTCTGTCGCTGCTCTCCTCCAGTGGTGTTGGGCATCGTAAAACACTCGAACACCTGGTGCTATCTACTCTCTCACTCTAGCCTACCTCAGTTCTCCTGCTTCTCTGTGCAGGTATGCCATGATGTCCAGCTTTAGGTTGGCTTAGATTTACATAAACCCATTTCTAACATACATTTGTTTTGTGTGCATTTTGTTTTGGGGTTTTTTGTGGGGCCTAAAGGGAGAGTTAGCTTTCTGGGGATGATGTGGTTGCCCATCCTTGTCTGTCACAGTGTGGTTAATCCAGGAAGAGGTCAACAACAAAATAAACTCAAAACCCTTCACCACTTACCTCTGGTGGCAAAACCATTCAGGACAAATGCTGAACAAACTGAAATATAAAAACAGGATCCCACACTGGGCTTTGCATCCTTTTGCATAGAGCATTATTTAATTTAAAAAGAGTAGCGATACATTTAGAGTTGACAAAGTCAGTCCCATGGCATGGTACAGTACAGTACACAATTACAATGATGTAAATTCCCTTTTTAAATTTGATACACCACATTTCAGCGTTAAACATTCTTCAATATCAGCAGCGCAAACCTTTTAAATGTTTATCATTTTTCTACTTGTCTAACAATGCTGTTATTTCAAGTCACACACATAATGAAAGAGGATTTGTGCAAATACACAGAAATTATAATGTAAAAACCTTTGAAAACCTCTAAGCAACACATCTGTGGGGTTTTTAGGAATATCAGTTTCTTGTTTAGCATAAAGAAAGCACTGCGGATATATCAAGCTGTTAATACAGCTGTCAGAGAGCTTTTTGTGTGTAAGACGGTATACATTCATTTCATTTCTCGGAAGTGTTTCTTTGAGGACAGCAATGTCAAGTAAAGGACTCGGTGTGGTTATCCCAGATTGCAACAGCAGGATACTGAGTAAGAATTCGTTTTTGGAGACATTAAAAGTCTTCAATCTGTTTTGCAGACTCTGGGATGAATCCAGGAAGTGGGCTCCCATTTTATCTGTCGCTGTCTTTACACATGCACAGGTGCAGCATGTGAATTGCACAGCTGATGGAAAAAAACAATAAAAGGTCATTGCAGTCTCGGTGTTCTAGGCCAATTTTAATTGAAAGACTTTGAGTTTCACCAGAACAATGGCACGAGTAAAATCTCCAGCGTCACTTTGTGGGTTTTTTCTTTTTTTATAAACAGCTTCGACGTAAGCACTGAAGCTGATATCCACATAGTAACACACTGTTCCTGTACTTTTGTTGGGCAGAAAACTGAATAGTTACCTAACAGGAGCTGAAAATTGAGATGTAGTAAATGCTCTAAGAAGAGACTAAATGTACCCTGTGGATTAATCCTCAGTCTGGACGGCCTTCTATTGTTCACTAGCAGCTCTCTGCTCTCCCAGTTTCGTGCATTTTGCAAGTCCTATTTTAGGCATGCATCCATTAATGATTCCAAAACAGGCTTTAAATGAGTAAATGGTTTTAGTACCATGAACACATCGCATTATGTACATCTGGCAACAACATTAAGAGGCTCTTAAGGAAAAAAACAAAAACAGTCCTTCTTCATAAGGGCGACATAAAGAAACAGGAACCCTCATTTGTTAGATAGGGCTCAAAGGTGTGCGACAGTTACACAATAAAATCAACTGGAGTGGTCCGTTCTCTTGCAATGATTGACAGTCACCGAAATAAAGCACACATTTTTGAACACACACAAAAAGTAATAAAAATCATAAATAACAAAATGACAGACTGTACACTCAATTAAAACACACAAATAATCCCTGTCACACACATTTCATAGTAGTGGTAGTATCTATTGAGTGATGCAGTTTTCTTTGTTTGACCTCGCTAAAAAGAGTCAGTGTAATCGTGTCGTAATCAGAATCAGTTCTTCTACTTTTAAACAACAGCAAATGGCATGAGTGACCAAAGAAAGACACATCCGGGTGATACAATAAAAGAAACGCTGAAGTTGGTGTTTGCCACTGACCCGCAGAGTGTGTGTTCGTGTTCAAGGTTTAAAAACGGCGCTGGAGATGAACTGTGTTCTCCTCTCCACGCCTGGCGATGTAACCGAGGCAAGTCCCTGCGTAAGGGCCGTGTGCACGTAGTGTAGGAAATGGGCGATGGGATGGACAGATTCTTCACCTAGTTCCTCTCGCTCTGTGTGCAGTGCTGAAACTGGGCAAAGCTAAGGAACACCTGCTCCAGTGATATCTGACTCACGCAGTAGTCTTCAATGTGGTATTTCTCTTTGGCTGCCTCCAAAGTGCCAAACACCTAGATGGGAGTTGAGAAAGAGAGGACATGGAAAAGTGAAGATCACATTTAATACCTTTAATTTGCACACAGTTAAGCAGACAAAAAAAAAGAAATCTACTTTTTCATGCACATCCAAATACCGGTTAGCTTTTATATATACATTTTTTTGTTTTTCAGTATTTTCCAAGGCATTTTGTGCACCATGTATCACAGCAAGTTTGTATGTTAAAGTTATGATATGAATACAGACTTTAAAATTAAAACACGGCAATCAAGACGTGGAAAATGTCAAGTTGAAACCTTGATCAAGTTACAAGAGGACTAGAAAAAACTGACTTAAACAATGTAGTTACTATTTTGTCCAATAGAGGGAGATATAACACAGCACAAGTGCAGGGACTTATTTTTTTATTTGTGAGCGATCTACTTCAAAGTTGACTCACAGATGACTAAAAACAATAATTAAAAAAAAAAAAAAAAAGGACAAAAATAAATATAATTTCCATCATTTGTGCATTCATCTTTTTTTCACTTATCCAGGGATAGGTCAGGGGTAAACGTAAGAAAATAGAACATAATACGATCAATTAAAGTATAGACAAACAGATGCTGGGTAAAAGATCAAAAGTAACTGTACCTGTGCCCAGGTTAGTGTTTTGTCAGTCAAATGGTAATGCACCATTCCCTGGTGTTCATCCTTGAGCTGACTTCCTGTTGTGGAAGAAAACTGACAGTTACATTTGCTTTGTTATTCTTTTACTTTGAAAATAATAGCTTAATCTGATGAGCTTATCGTCCCACTTGAGTGTTTCAGTAAACTGTAAATGTGCCGCTTGTGTGTTGTTTACCCTTTTGGAATATTTCGGTTTGACCGCATTGGTCAAATACAGACTCATTAAAAGGATTTAAAAGGCTTCACCACGAAGAAAAGGAACTTCATTGTATAGTTTATTAAGAGTAAGGTCTTTGGATATTATGGCGTCTGTCTTTTGAGAAAGAGTAGCATACATTTTTGTTATTGGATATAGTCATAACACCACCAAGTGGCAGCAAACAGCCACAACAGGTAGAATTTCCTCAACATGCAATGCCATGCTTGAAGCTTAAGCTATATATAATTATTTATGATCTTGGTATTTTCAATCCCTGAGAACTTACTTCTAGTAACTCACATTTTTTATGAGAAGTATTTATAGTTAGATTTAGAAATATTGAAACAACTCTTCTATCACGAGGCTCTGACCTGGGAAGGTGCTTTCAATGAAGTCTTTAAATAGCAGCAGGTCGCTGTGCTCCAGTTCAGCTTCTACATGGACTTTAGCCAGCAGCGTGTAGCCACTGCCAAACTTGCTCTTTAGATGTTGGGGACTCCCGAGGCACTTGAACTGACCGTTGACCATCACTGCCAGCCTGGTGCACAGGGCCTCACACTCCTCCATACTGATGAACGAACATATCGGTGGGAAAGTTAGGTAGGTGTAAGCTTAACTAGATGGAGCAAATCAGCTGCTATCTACCATATTCTTTAGCATGTACCTATGAGAAGTGATGATTATAGCCTTGCCAGACTCCCGTGTGCGTGTAACAGCGTCCCACAGCA